CATATGTACATGTACATGCATGTACATCTAATTTCTAAGTGACCTCTAACTGTCACACCTATTATTTTTATACATGTAAATGTACAGTATTTTATCTACTACATTTACATGTGTATTCTGGTCATCATACTTCATTTAATATACAATGTACATGTATATGTACATGTAAATTATATACATGTACATGTATTATTAATCTCTTTATTCTTACCCTCTGTTTCTCCTTGTTTCTGCTTAGCACGTTTAATTTTCTTCCGATAAACCTTCAATAGGAAGTCCTTGAATTTGTTATTCTCTCCCATGGCCTCCATAAACTCGTGATCAAGAGCTTTCTCCTGCTCCTGTAGCACTGAGACCAGCTTCTCTTTCTCTTGGACTTCCCACTCAATCTCTTCAATCTACACACAAAGAAATAAAGTACTATCTACTAAAGCTTTTTCAATGGAATAAAAACTGATTAAATAAAATCGTACACTGTAGCTTAACTTGATAACAGTATTAATTTGATAGCAGTATAATTTTTGCTATTAAACAGCAAATTTTTAAAGGGAAAGTACATGTACATGTACATTAATTACATGCAATTATGATGCTTTTTATTTTGTGTATAAAGTAAGGTGTAGTACCTTCACTTCTAGGTCTCCCCTCTCCTTCTTCTTTGTCCTGTATTTCGTTGTAAAGTTTGTCTCTCTTTTCTCAAACTCTTTCAAAAGCTCTAGCTCCTCAAACTGAGTCAAATGCCTGAAAAGCAACCAAGGTCAAATACAGCAAGAATACCATAGATAGTATTTAAACGTGTACATATACTTTTTAAAAAATTATTAAAGTTTGGCCATTGAAGACCATGTACATGTACATCTACATATACATGTACTAGACCAAGCATGATATTTCTAAAATTAGCTCCAAAACATGTCCAAATTTTCTGAATGCTCTCCTAATGCTGATCCTCCCTTACTTCAGTTCAGTTAGTTTCATCACTACATCAAGGAGTGATTTCTCATGCCTCAGGTGGACCACAGTGTCATCAAAAGACTTCACTAGCTCCTCAATATCAGCCAGCAATGAGTCCTGCCTGTAAATCTTGAGCACTTCCTCTTCACTGGACATTAGGGCTTCAAGATCAGACAACTTGTAGTCATCGTCTTTTCCTTTGCCCTCCTCTCCCTCTCCTCCTCCTTTCGTTCCAATGCTGTGACTGCTGCTAGTACCAGAACTGGGAGATGACTACATGCACATGAAACAGTAAAATAATAATATCTTGCATTCATAATGAAGACATCAATATAAATTAATCTTAGCATTAAACTAAGATAACATTAATTTAAGCATCACTTGAGTTTAAGCTTTTTAATTTCATGTACATGTATATCATACAGTAAAATTAGTACACACAATTGTTATAAGCTAATAAAGATTTAGTATTAAATGTGTACAAATGCACAATGTACATACATGTATACATGTACATGTATAAATAATTACATCTTTCTCTTCAGTCTTTTTATCTTCTCCTCCTCCTCCACCAAATCCTCCAAATCCACCAAATCCTTCGCCCACGCCAGCAGCTGCATCCTTCTCAGCTTTCTCTCTCTTCTCCTTATCATCTCGAAACTTTATCAAAGTCTCTTTCGTATACTCCAACTCCCTACAATAATGAATAAAAATAATGATGACCATACATACAACTACATGTACATGTAAGTAGCATACATTGTACATGTTTTTTTACCATGTGAATTATCTCTTAATAATAACACAAAAATAAGTAGCAACAAGTACATGTACAACAAAAAAAAAATTATATATATATAATTATAATCCATATATGTACATGTACATGTATTGTAAATGTATGCACATTACATGTACATGTACATGTACATGTATTTACATGTAGTACGTACCTTTCAGGGACTTCTTCAGGTTTAAGTGTTGGAATGGTTGGAAGAGGTTTACGAAGAGAGGGAGGCAAATGACGTTGAGCACTTTTCAGTTCATTAACTAGCAACGTAATCTAGAGAGAGAGAGAGAGAGAAAGGAAAAATATTGACTGCATCTTTACTATGATTTCAATACATGTGTACACGTACATGTACACATACATGTACAATTACTTATTATCATTAGTTATACCTTTTTAATCATTTCAATCTTATAGTCTCTGAGGGCCATCAGTTTATCATTGTATTTACGTTTAGCATCAAAAATCTGAAAAAAATAACAAAGATAAAGCAACAGAAAATACATGTACATTAAACTAAAAATTAGCAAAGGAGAAACATGAAGGATAAAGTACTGAATTTTAAGGTACAGTAGTAATTAATACATGTACATGTATTTACATTGTTTCTGCATATCAGTAGTTCCCTTCTCTTCTTCTCAGTGGACATTCTCTGTTGATCGGACACAACGTAATCGCTCGATGTCTTAAGCTTATAATCGCCCATTTCTGACTTTGCTTTACTAATAGCTGAAACCTCTTCTGGGTCCTCATAACCAGCCCCTGGCTTCGTTTGATTAAACTCCTCCCACTCCCTCCTCCTCTTCTCTTTCTTTTGTCTCCTAATCTCACTCTTACTAAGATCCACCGACTCCACAATACTTCCTTTTCCTTTGAGTGTTTCAAGTGCGAGGGTATCTTGTCCTCGGGTTTTACGTCTCATTGGTACTCTTCCACTAGGGCCTGTACCAGCAGTGGAGGGAGTATTGGCAGCCGCTTGATCGGAGCTGAGTATCTTCTCTAGGAGCTCGAGGTATTGAGAGGAAGGGGCAGCACAACGGAACGTGCTCACCCAATACCCTCCTCTTACTGTCCATACTACCGTGCGCTCGCACTCAACTGTATCTTTGTATCTAGTGAAAAATGACAAGTGAATGTATGTATTGTACAAAAAATGTAAAAAAACTGGGGGTGATTTTGGAGCCATTTTTCGGAAAAAAAACATGGGCTATAGTACAGGAATTTTTTCTAAAAATGGCTGATTCTTAAAAATGGTCGTTACTCGAAAAAATTAAATCGGAATCAGCTCAAACTTTTTGCATAGCATAAGGACATCAATGTGTATCAAAAAATGTAATAAAAATTGGGGGTCATTTCGGAGCCATTTTTTAGAAAAAACCATGGGCTATAGTACAGGGAATTTTTTTTTAAATGGCTGATTTTTAAAAATGGTCATAACTTGAAAAAATTAAGTCAGAATTGGCTCAAACTTTCTACATAGCATAAGGACATCAATATGTATTAGAAAATGTAATAAAAATTGGGGGTCATTTCAGAGCCATTTTTTGGAAAAAACCATGGGCTATAGTACAGGGAATTTTTAAAAAATGGCTAATTTTTAAAAATGGTCATAAATTGAAAAAATTAAGTCGGAATCAACTCAAACTTTCTACATAGCATAAGGACATCAATATGTATTAGAAAATGT